GCATCTTTTTAACGCGTTTCTTCCGCAGGCACGATCCCAGGCACGATCGTGCCTGGCATCGTGTCTGGCCCCGTTTTGTCCTAAATCAGCTCAACTTCTCCTGTTTTCTATAAATATGGCCTCCATACCCACTTTTGAGGGTTACAAACTTTGGAGAGAGGCCTAGGGACGAGTTTTACCTGCGTTTTTACGTTGTTTAATCCAAGAACCTGGGATTCTTTGTAAGTTCAATTCTTTAATTAATGACAATTATTTCTATTCATCCCAATTCTTTTGATTCGTCAATTATGAGGCGTGAGTAGTTTAATTAGGGATTTGGGGTTGATGAAGGGGTTAATCATGATGTATGGCTAGATTCTTGTCGGTTTAATTGCATGAATGCCGTTTAATTTGTGTTTGAATAATTTAACTGATATCTCTTGTAACCTAGATGGCCACTAGAATTACAATTGCTTATAGAATAAATTAAGAGAGATCTAATTTGTTCTAGGACACATTCACACACACTTAATCGTTCGCTAAGAGATTAGTAGCGATTAAGGGGCCGTAAGCTCGCTCGTTTTGGCAATAATTTAGGATCTTGTCGCATGAGAGATCAGCCTGGACCCCTAAATTATTGTACTCTACGCCGCGAGAGCAGTAAGAACTTAGTAATGATTAGCTAGGCTCAATTAAATTAAATTCATGTGATTAGGTCTGTTCTGCCAGAAATCTGGTTAACCCCGGAATCAATTCCTGTTCCCTTCGTCGTTAATTAAGGAAAACCAAATCTTTTTATTCGTTCATTAGCATTAGTTTTAGTTTAATCAATCAATCAATCTCGCACAATTGCACTTTTATTTTATTTATTTCTGTTTAATCGTTGAATTTAGTTAAACCTTATTTCCCTTTTGTCCGTCCCTGTGGAGACGATACTCGTAGTTTCAACCACTTTACTACATCCTTTTTAAGTGCGAGAAAACTCACATCAGTCGGCCCCGATATTCTGATGGAGCATTCAACGTCTTCCAACGACTCGGCTTCAGATCCTGTCCCAAACCGCCTGCCTTTGTACAACGGGACCACCTTACAAAACAGCGCGGAGTCATCCTCATCATACGACTTCCCTTGTGATTCAACCAGCGCTTTCATTTCACTATACTTTTGCTGCACAAACAGAAAATTATTGTTAAAATATATTTCTTCTATAATAACATAATAATTAAAACATATAACAAAAGTATATGTTTCCTTTACCTTTGTTTCAACAACACGTGGTGGGAGGTCACCCGACTTCGGGACATACACCTTATCGAACACTTCGATCTTCAAGGGAGCCCTATTCAATTGCTTGGTCTACAGATTTATAAGTAAAAAATATGATTAAAAGTAAAAACAATAATCATTGAATTATAATTCAAAATTATAACAGAAACTTACTAGCCTTTCAACATGTGTCGTCACTGGTATCCTGCCACCGCGATACTGTGATTCTTTTCCCGCTTTAGAGTTTCGGTTCTTCTTCCCAACTTGGCTCTTCTTCTTAAAAGCATCAGAGGCCCAATACTCTTGCAACAACTTCCAATCTCCATCACCAATCCAGTTAGGCTTCTTGTTGTCCCGCCTAACCTTACCAATGTTCTTGCTCAACCATTCAGAGGCCCGAGACTTGAACTTCTTTTTCATTTTGGTATTAAAGCAGGCATCCCACTCATACTTCCTCTGAAAAAACAAAAAAAAAACGAGCAATATCAGAATTCCCAAACTGTCTATAATCAATCTAAAATAACAGTACTTACACAATAAGAACCTATAACATACCTGAAACAGTTTCCACCAACGGTTGCGTTGATCAGCATCCGCATTCATAAAAGAACGTCGTGGACCGTGGAAATTGTTAGTCAGGATTGAAATGATGTTGTTTAGAATAGTGGGATTGCTGCATCATAAAACCAAACAGAAATAATGTATATGTAGAAATATTCTATATACAATTACATAAGGCAATAGTACTAAACCTTCTCATTTCAAAGGGTGAAATGAAGATCTTTTTCTGAACAGAATCATCGGGGGTAGCAGAATCAGAACCTTTTGAATGTTCATCAGAAAGCTGTCGGGATTGGACAGACTCATATGAATCAGCTAGAGGAGAGTTCTGCTCACTGCGGTTTATGACTGGGCTCCCTCCACCTCCCCGACCTCCGCGGGAGGAAGTAAAGGAACTGAATAAACCTCTACGGGTAGACATTCTATTGAAACACATAGCAATTTTATAAAAGGCACAAGTAAATATATTGGGTGATAAAAGCCTTAATTAACAGCAATATAGATTTATTAATATACACATATTGTTACACCAAGTAATAAAATGAGGAGTAATACACAGATTGTCAAACTCTCAGATTGCTACACCAACTAATACTTATACATCACTTATATGCAGTATCATGCTGTCATAATTTTTAGAATTGGTAATCAGAATATTTATATTTAAACACAAAATAATCCGAAAAACGAAAATTCTATAACTTTACAAACACCAAAAAATATTTCTTAGTTTTCAAAAGCAAAACATCTATAATCACAAAACGAGTTAAATAAAAAATAAGAGTATATATAAACACTTGCATGCTACCAATATTTCGACAAATTGATTAAAAAAGTAATCCTTCATGATGGTATAAATTAAAGAGACGAAAATCATTTACTTATATATTTTTTAAATTCAGAGATCAAAAAGTTATGAATTTACAGACTTCGTTTATACGAACTTTGTTTATAATACTTCGTAAATTAAGTTAATACTTGGTTTCTATTAAAAACAATTAAACAACTCACTAAAACACATCGTTTATTAATTTATAAATACTTTATAAATACTGTCAACATAAATACCACTATTGTATTTTTAAAAATGATAGTGGTATTTATAAGAGTTGTTTAAAACATATGTTTAAAAATTTCGAGTTCATATTCAACAGAAAATAACAATGCGTTAAAACACATCGTTTATTAATTTATAAATACTTTATAAATACTGTCAACATAAATACCACTATTGTATTTTAAAAAATGATAGTGGTATTTATAAGAGTTGTTTAAAACAGAGGTTAATAAAGATGAAAAACTGTAAAGATGTAATTAAGAAACATCTCCTGGACACAGAGCGAAGGCGATGGCCGCACTAGTCTGAAGATGCGTCGGAGCCGTCATGAACACGGCAACGTCGTAAGCGGCTTAAAACACGGCACACGTGGGAGGCGGATGGCTCGCGGTAGGCAGAGTAAAGGGTGACCGGAGTAAGTGGTGTGAGATGGAGGGGGAGACAGCGTAAGTGGTGGCCGGGGTAAATGGTGGGAGATGGAGGGGAGAGCAGTCTGAGCAGAGTAAGTGGTGGCCGGAGTAAGGGTAGTCGGAGTAAACAGAGGCACTACAAAAAAACACGGGCGTAGTCACGGATTTAGTCACGGACTGCAGTGTAAAAGTTCCGTGACTAAAAAGGTTAGTCACGGTCATCCGACTTTACTAAATCCGTGTCTTAATTGGCGTGACTAAATGAAGTCACCGCCACATAACCGTGACTAAATTTAGTCACGGATTAGTCACGGTCAAGTACCGTGACTAATTTCATGCCGGAAACCCCACTCCGACGTGTTGGTCACGGCCACAAGCCGTGACTATAATTTTTTTTTAAAAAAATAAATATTAGTCACGGCTGTGGGCCGTGACTAATTTTTCAAATTTTCAAAATTTTCAAAAGACCGCCCGCGGGTGTAATCTAAATTTTTGAAATTAGTCACGGTTGTCGACCGTGACTAAGCTTTTTTAAAAAAAAAAAATAATGTTTTTTATTAAAAACAAATAATAATTTCGAATTAACTGTAGTCATGGATAAGGCCGTGACTACTATTTTTGTTTTTTAAAAAAAAAATCCATTTTTTTTTAAAGTTGTTTTTAAAAATTACTACCTCCGTCCCCCTATGTTTGGGACAAGAAAAGGTGGCACGGTTATTAATAAAAGTGGGTTTATGTGGTTGATATTGAATTGATAAAGTAAGAATAAAGTAGAAATGATTTGGAACCACACAAACTTTACCAAATAAGGTATGAGACAATCTTAGTGGGACGAGCCGAAATGGTAAAATGGGACAATCATAGCGGGACGGAGGGAGTACTTTTTAATACGTATTTTTACAAATTAAATTTAAAAATGTTATTCTAATTTTTATCCATGTTTTTATACTATTGAATTATTGAAAATATTATTCTAATTTTTTAAATTTAAAATTACATTTTAAAGAGTAAAGACATACAACAAACTTAATAAATATTGTGACAAACTTTTAAATATTTTGACAAACAACAAAGTACAAATGTATGATGATTACATGTCCCTTCGTGGGACTCCATTATGAAAAAAATTAGGATTTTCTTCTTCTTCTTCATCATCATCATCAACAAGAAACTCATCTGGGTTCACGGGGGGGTCTTCGGGGTCAGGTCGGGTTCCTCCTCGGGGTGCTCCTCGGTGTCCTCCTCGGGGTGCTCCTCGGGCTCCATGGCTCGGTGTGCCACTACCTCCTCCGGATGACCTCGCAAAATCAATGGACATAGATCCGAAATTCGGGGAGATCATAGGCATGCCACCATATCCGGAGTTGGGGAAAAATCCCATACCGCCCATGTGCGGAACTTGAGGAGTTTGCTCAGGGTGGAATACGTACGGGGGAGGAAAAGGCTGTTGCGGAGGCTGAAATCCGGCACGCATGTACCGTTCCATCTCCTCCAACCGGGCTTTTGTGGCCTCATCTGCTTTCCGCTGCTCCTCCCATCGCCGTTTGTGCTCCTCAGTTCACGCTGCATTGTAGCAATACGAGGATCTTCTCCCCGCCTTGACCGAGAAGAGGAAGCGTCAGTGCTTCGATCATACAAAATCTGTTGCCCCTCGGCCCCCAAGCACGGAACCCGGCCCTTGTAAACCCCGGCCGCCTCAATGGCCGCCTCATCATCCGCATCGGAATCGAGGTCGTCTTCCTGGGTCAAGCCTCGTGCCGCACGCTGCCTTTCAACGGATTCGTTGTACTTCGTCTGCATTTTCAAAAAATATTTTTGAAATGCTACATACTTAGATTTGATATGTTACTAAATAACAAAATATGATGCTACATACTTCGAAGTCAGCGAGGCGGGGTGGCAGATCGGCTTCAGATTCCTCGCCGTGCTTCGTCCAGCAATGCTTGACGAGCCGGAGAACACCAACCCTCTTCTTCTCAGGACCAGCCTAAATGGTGTGAAAAAGACTTAAGTAAATTTTTTATAATGAAGGATTGTGATGGTGTAAGGTTTTTTGAATAGCACTTACAAGAGTTTCTTTATGGGCATTCTGAGATTTGCGACCCCCGTGCCACTGCATCTCCAAGGCCTTCTCGGACATCCGGTTTTTCTTACCGGATTCACTTCTGGCCAAGAATTTCGGATCAGATGACCAGTGGCGACAAAGGTTGGACCACACTTCATCCGAAACCCATTTAGGCTTTTTCGAACTTTTTTCGCGCACGTTTAAAAGTGGCGCGAAGCCAGGTCGAAATCCTAGCATTGTAGGCTTTAAGAATATTGGCACCGTTTGCGTGAGTCCAACGATAGCGAGCCTTTATTAAAACAAATTGGATTAATTAATCAGTAGGTATATATTAGGCCAATACAATCAGGGAGGGAACATTCATTTATTTTTACCTTGAACAGGTTCCACCATAGTTCGCGAACCTTGGGGTCAACATCCGAGTACGTGGCCCAAGTGCCAAGAAAGTGTCCTCCGATTATGCTTTTGATGCCTTTGAACACTTGTTCGTCACTTAAAAAAATTAATAGTATTTATTTATATAAGATTTGGTTAGATTATTTAACATTATATAAAATTATTGAAAATAAGGTTTCTTCATAACTACTTACAAAAGAACTTCTGCAGGGGTCACCCAAACAGCTCCTTCGTTGTTGCGCTCCGCTTCGGACATGGGCGCATAGTTAGGGCGGGGAGCCGAGGTCGATTGTTCGTTGCTCATCTAAAATATATTAATTTATTTTGTTTTTTGTTAGAACGCTTATAATAGAACTTCTGCAGGGGTCACCCTATTGATTACTGCTGGTCATAAACCTAACAGAAACAGTAGTCTAGAATTTTCCATATCTAAGCCAACTAGAGCTTACACGAGGAAGTACCAGACTTCATCAATACTGAAGAAAGTTATGAGTCATGCAACATGCAAGAACGACACTTGCTGATCCAAAATTAAGCGGCTTCATAAATGATAAGACACCAATATCATTTAATTCTCATACTTTCTCTTTAAAAGAGAAACCTGCCTCTTAACATTTAACAGGTCTCGGTTAATTAAAAACTGATCTCGGAAAACGAAGAGATCATCTACACAATTAAATATAAATCCCTCCTCCAAAGCCAATGTTAGTCCATTCCAAATTCTTCCTTAGAGCTCCGATATCCTTATTCTTCCTTAATCTTCCTCAAAAATGGCCGATAACAACTCCAACAACAAGCCTTTTGAACCATTCCTGAACCTCTCACTAGCCCAACCTTCCTCCACACAACAGCCTACTCCACAACAGCTGGATCAAGAAGAATTCTTAAACTTAAGAATCCAGTCTCTCAAAGAAAAGGAAGCTCTTGAAAACCAACTCACAAGAGTCCTCAACTGGAGAAAATGGAGTGTTGGGTTAAGGCCCAAGCCGAGGTCCGGCCCACTAACCCATTTTGCCAGACGAACGTCCAGTTAGAACACTAGGCCAGCCCACAGGCCCATGTTCCTTGAGGATGGACGAACGTCTGGTGTTGGGGGACTCAGGCCCAGCAGCTCATCCCGACGAACGTCTATGCAGGGACAAGGAGCAGAACCACGGGCCACCAGGGATGGCGACGAACGTCCCCAGAGCAAGCCTGTAGTCATCGGAGAAAACCCAGTCCACATGGTGAGTATCTATCAAGGCCAGGAGACGAACAGTCGATATCTCTCAAGGGTCACTTGGAGCAATCCAACTCACTTCCCGGGTGGACGAACGTCCCCACTGATCCGGCGGGAAACCTAGATTCTGGCGGGAAGTGCATTTAATGCTAAAGATTTGGTAGTTGGGACACCAGCGGTCCACAGGCTGCCACGTCACTACAGCCACCTGCCCATTGGCGGGTATAAATAGAAGCATTTATTTCATTGTAAAGGGTTGGCAACTTTCTATTCTTAGCATACTAGCTTCAGCATTCTTACTCGCAGCATTTCTAACTGCCCTGTAAGACGAACGGCCGACGTGCCTTTTGTAGCAAGTAGATTGTACTTAGGGGAGTTATTACGAAGTTAATAATACCTATTTACATTGCCTGCTATTACTTTTGTTTCCTGATCCATCTGATAGTTGTTGGGCTAGACATCCATACACTCACTCCACTCGAAACCTTTGGGCTTACGTGTTGGGTCCAAGGGTTGAAGGAATAAACCTCAACACTGGCGCCGTCTGTGGGAAACTGAGCAAAAAGTTTCCAGAAACTCTCCCAAACAGCTACTAAGTCTACCTACAGCAAATACGATGTCAGGAAGCAACAACCAGCGTGATCTCTCCGAGCGTCTGGAGTCGAGCAACCGGAACCGCGGCCAGAACTCGGAACTATCCGCGACCATATGGACCTCCGGAGGAAATGGGGGCATCACTGACCTCATTCCCCTGGAGGCCAGGCAGGATCCCCACCTCATGCGGGAACTCGCAGACACTATGCGTCGCTTGGCAGACGAACGGGAGGCCCGAGATCGGGTGTACTCTGCAAGCACCCAGCGAACGCCCCTCTCTCCCATACGCCGCATGCAGTCGTACGATGATACGACAGGCTCCAGCGACCACCGGCCCTCCGTCCACGAGCGGCTAGGTGGGGGTTCAGGCTCCCGTGAAACGGGAGGGCGAACCAGGGTCAGCATCGCTGCATCCAGGGCTCTCACACCATCAGTTCCCTGCCAAATCCCGCGGGGAGACGAGACCCCAAGGATCAACACCGTTGGACGACGTTTCCAACGGCGAGGTGCGCAGATCTTCAGGCGGCCGCACGGTGCTGTGGCCGCTCAGCAAAACGCCACCCCCGAAGCCGCGCCCCCTGTGTCCCCCGGAAGGGCCGCACAGGACGCACGGCTGGAAGCCATGGAGAGGCAGATAGCCGAGATGAATAGGCGGGCGGACGTCGGCTCGGCCACACCCTCCTTCTCTCTCACATCACCTTTTACTCCACGGGTGATGAGCGTCGAGATTCCCCGGGATTGCAGACCCCCGGGGAACTTGGTGTATAATGGGGCTGGTGATCCTAAGGCCCATCTAATAAGCTACCAAGGGAACCTGTCCATGCTGGGAGCGTCGGACGAGGCCATCTGCAGATTGTTCTTCAGCACCCTCAGGGGGCCAGCTCAGGAATGGTTCGGCCAGTTGAGGCCAGGCACCATTGATTCATACGAACAGCTTTCCCGGCAGTTCATGGCACAGTTTGCTGCCAGCACCACCCCCAGGAAGGACGTCACGGCTCTCGCCCACATCAAACAAGGGCGAGACGAACCGCTGGCTAGGTTCCTGGTAAGGTGGAGGGACGAGGTCCTGCAGGTCGACGATCTGGACGAACGTCTGGCCACCAACATGTTCACCAGCGCGCTGGCCACGGGGGACCTATATCGGGACTTGAGGAGGAATCCCGGCACCAGCTACACCGAGGTTTTGGCTCGGGCACAAAAGTATGCCTCCATTGAGGAGGAGATCAGGCAGCGGGACGGAGTTCCCGCGGCCCAGCCAAGGAAGATGGCGGACAGGCTCGGACCTGGGTCGGGAACCGGGCCCTCACCCCCAAGCAAAAAGAAGAGGGTGGACGGAGCGATGGTCCCTTGGAAGGCTCCGTCCGGGGACAGTCAGACGCGGCCGGGCGAGCGCTACATCCCACTGGCCTATCCAGTGAGCCAAATCTTCGAGGCCATCAAGGACAAGGGCCTCCTGACGGAACCCCAAGATATGAAGAAGTATATGGGGCTTGACCAATCGGCTTACTGCGAATACCATCAGAGGATCGGCCATCTGACGGACAATTGCAGCCAACTGAAGAAGGCAATCGACGAGCTGATCCGCCAGGGGTACTTGGGCGAATTCACCCAGCTGCTGAACAAAAACAGTCAGCAGAAGCCGAGCCCAAGGCACAAGACATGGCGCCGCGACGACCGGCGCGAGGCAGAACCTCAGGACGTGGATTATCGGAGTGCAGATAAACGTCCGGAGGGATCCCTCGGCCCAAAGGGCAAGAAGAAGAAGTTGGAGATCAAGGTGATCTTCGGGGGCGCTGAGACAGGGGATACACCCGCCGAGCGGAAAAAATTTGAGAGATCACTCTATGTGGGTTCCGTATCAGCACCCCCCACCAAGCGCAATAAAATCGAGGCAATTACCTTCGGCCCCGCTGATCTGCCAATGTCACCGGCGCCGCACAGGGACGAGCTGGTGATCAGCATGGACGTAAACGATGCCATCGTCCGCCGCGTCCTTTTTGACACCGGGAGCAGTGTGAACGTCCTCTACTGGGAGGCTTTCGAAGGAATGAAGCTCAGGAAGGACATGCTGCACCCCCTACGCACCCCGCTGTCCGGCTTCACCGGGGATTGCATTGACGCCGAGGGCACCATCGTCTTGCCAGTGGAAATCGGCGACGGTCCTCATACGGCCCGAATCAGCATGACGTTCGTCGTGGTCCGCCTAAAATGCGCCCACAACGCCATTTTGGGCCGACCCGGCTTGGAAGACTTGGAGGCCATATGCTCCGTACGACACTCATGCATCAAATTCCCTACCGACACTGGAGTAGGGGTGGCACGTACGGACCCGCATATGGCCAGGGCATGCTACACGAAGGCCATGGAGAAGCTCAACGAGCGGGAGGCTCGGGTCAACAGCATTTCCGAGAAAGCCAAGCAGGCCGACTTGGACGCTCATCTGGAACCAGCGACTCTGCTGGAAGAAATCGAGCTCGACGACCCGACGGACAGGAAGGTGTCCATCGGTGCAGATCTAGAGCCGGAGATCAGGGCGGGGGTCATAGCTGTCCTCCGAAGGTTCAGGATCTTATTCGCCAGAGGGCCAGAGGACATGCCGGGCATCGACCCCAACCTCATATGCCATAGACTCGCCGTACGGCCGGACGCCAGGCCTGTACAGCAGAAGAAAAGGTATATGGCGGCCGACCGACGCGATTTCATCAGGAAGGAGACGGCAACTCTCCTCAGCATTAAACACATCCGGCCGGTCACCCACGTGGAGTGACTGGCCAACGTGGTACTAGCCCCGAAGGGCGACACTTGGCGGATGTGCGTCGATTACTCGGACCTAAACAAAGCTTGTCCGATGGATCCTTACCCTGTTCCGAGGATCGACTTGCTGGTGGATGAAACGGCAGGCTGCGAGCTGCTCAGCTTCATGGACGCATTCAGGGGCTACCATCAGGTGTTCATGCACCCCGATGATGCCGAGAAAACGGCGTTCGTCACGGCGGA